TAGAAACACCCGTAGGAAGTTGATACGTGCCTGAAGAGGTAACACAGTGCTTAGAACGCGCCCAGATGGTCTTACACGCGCCTGGACGCTTATTTTTGAGGGTCCCAGCACGTGCCACGCGCTCCCACGCGCTTGCACGTACTGGTGGGAGCTTCCAGCGCGTGCCACGCGTTGGCATGCGTTGCCACGCGCCGATTGGAAGCTGCAGCGCGTGGCACACGCTCCCACGTGCTGCCACGCGCTGGGAGAAGAAGGCATTGGCTGGCGCGTGTTCACCACGCGCTAACTTGTTGGCTGAGTTGTAGCGCCACTGAAGGCGCACCCACACCAAATACTTTCCTCCTAAATCTTATCCGACGACTGATATTCTGGGTGCACCGTATGCTGGTGTACTGAGCCGCACTGGATTGGCTGGCCAACCTTCGGTGCTTCCCTTGCCGCCGGTGACTCTCCGGTCGTCAGAAAATCGCAGAAAAATAATAAAAATTTTCAGAAATTAAATTTAAGCCCAAAAAATTTCAGAAAATTTCTGAAAAATTTCAGAAAATTCCTGAAACCTAATTTAACCCTCTTGGACCTTCTTGAAGCTTCATAGCATCCTTTGACAAAGATTACATGGCTTTAAAAATATTTACAATTTGAAATACAATGGAAAAAATTAAATTACATCATTGAACTTTCAAACGGCTAAATTAAAGCCTTAATTACATTCATCCAAAGATAAAATTACATTCAAATAACTTATAAGCTTCATCTATGGCCCAAACATACATCATCATTCATTCACAATTATACATACATCATCATGTATCAATATATATCAACATATTAAATCATACATCAACATACATCAATAAAAATATATATGAATATAATTCTAGATCCACGAATGATGAATTTTGATAAAAACATAATCTCTAGTAATGAATCAAACCATGCTCTAATACCACTGTTGGGAAACGTGCAAGTTTTAAAAACTTTTTGAGGAATTTTGATTCATAGATCTTGATTCATCACATAGAGACAAGTTTTATGCAAAAATAAAATATAATGTATCATTCAAGTAACAGATTAAATACTTACATCAAAGGTCTGAGTAAACTTTTAAATCTTTCCTCTAAAGTGAATGTTCTCACTTATTGTAGATCTCTTAGCAAGATGCCTTCTCCTTGGATCTCCATCTTCTTGGTAATTGTTTTGCCTTTAGGAATCACTCATAAGCCTCCATGAATGACTTTGAAAAACTAGGCTTGTGGGAGCTTCCATTAGATAAAAACATAAACCCTAATTTTCTAGAGAGAGAAAATATATTCCTTTTTCCTTCTACTAAAAATCACACCAAAAATATACATAGACCATGTATATTTATAGGCAACATAAAGATAAAGAAAAGGAAACAACAAATCATTCTCAATCTCTAATTTACATGTCTCAAATCTAATATGATTCCAATATCAAGTTGGGCTATGAGTGAGAATCCATTGGGCCTATTATTTTATTGGCTACAATGAATTAATAATTGGCCCGATCCATGGACCCAATTCAATTAATTTATAAATTAATTTCTACTCCACTAAAAGAAATTAATTGAACTCCAATTAAATAATAAATAACCTCTAAGTCAATATTGCACTTTGACCCCTCTATGCATAATTAGTTATCGGATAAATAAAGCCATCAATCCGATTACTTAATTAATATATTTATTTTGGTACCATTGATTATTTCTGGTTCGATCACAATAAAACATTTGTTTTGACAAAAAATAATAATTTAAATAAATAAATATATAATAAATCATTTTGTCTAAAAACATACGAAGGCCTTCGAATTTACTTTGTGATCAATCATAATCAATACAAAATAAATACAAGTAGCAATGATACAAATATTGAAAATATAACCCTCTAACTATTAATTACATAACTACCCAAAGTGTCGGTCTAAGGATCCCGAAGTATCCGCCGAACAAGTCAAAGTAATTATTAATTAATAAAAGAGTTTTATATTTTTCTCATACTTAAGAGTCAAATGCCATGACAGTGATAGGGAACAATCGCATACGACGACTCTCACAATATATCTCAACCTAACGTGGATCCAGTTCAAGTCTTAATTAATTATGAGTCCATCCATAATTACCGACTATGAACAATTTATGATTACTATTTATATTCATGTATTGATCGCCATCACATATAAATATCTCTTGTAATCAAGTGGGCACTATCAATTCTATAATGAATCGAAATATAATACATTGAATTCACCAATTATAAAACATAAATATTTCAGAAACGTCAAGAACATATGCCACTATAATCCAGATAGGAATTTGCTATGCCAGGGCATATAAATCCCAACAGTTAAATGAACTCGAATGCTCCGCGAGGACTTTGTCCCTTCCGTACTACAATTGAATCCTTTTTTCAAAGATGCATAGATCAATGAAGATGCATAGATCAATTGATTCTCTTCTTCTGAAGAGAATCAATTGAATCTTTAATATAGTCAGAACTCCGAACAGATAGAGAACACCATCCTAATTCACTCTTATGTAATAATGTGTGATCTAAAAGAACATACTCTCAAATGATTCTCTCAATTGTAAAATATTAATCTCAAAACCCTAATTAATCAAGAGAGTAAAAAGTATTTATAAATGTTAAGTCATTTCCAAGCTTGGAAAAAAAGTAAAAATACGTATAAATACTTCTCTAAAAAATCTGATAAAAAGGAGATTTGAATCTTACCAAAAATGTAGTTTCATTTTTAAGATCCGAGAAGTGTGATTAATTGAAAAAATTCAACCGGTATGACTTTGGTAGATTGCAATTCTAATTTAAAACAATTTTACTAGCATAGTGTCACGCCCCGAAATCCAAATGGTCAAATTGGTGATAAAAGGAAGGATAAAATAAAATAAATCCAAATGCCGACACCCTCAACCAAATCTATTTACATACAAAACATCATCCCACTAGGTCATTTTGTCACACCGACAAACCCCCAACAAAAATCTCCCTCCAACATAGTTCTGCAACTAGACCGGTCCTCATTATAGTGATAATTCTGCAATGCTGGACCGGTCCAAGTGAAGTTGGATAGATCTAACTGGACCAAATCAAAATCTTACCTATTGGGGCACTCTCTCTTTTCATTCTTCTCATAAAAGTAACTAACAACTCTCGTATGCACCGTAGATAATTCCAATTCTAAAAGTCACCCCAGCCGCACACCCGAATCTAACGTGCTAAGGAAAGAAACAAACCCGAACACATAATCAAATCTCTTGAGAAAAATCATGACCAAACTCACAGAGTCTGTTTGGTTAGCTAGAAATTGATGGTGGAAAGTAAAAGAGAGGAAAGTGAAGTGAAAGAAAAGAAAATTAGTTTTTTATTATGCATTTGGTTAGCAAGAATTTTTTTGAAGAATTTTGTGGAAAAATGTTGTTTAATTAGTTTGAATAGCAAAAAAATGAAAGGAAAATAATTTTATATGTCAAAAGAATTTAATAGTAAAATAATAATAATATATACAATTAAATAATAATAAAATTAGTAAAATAATTTATACAATTAAATTACCCTTATGAATTTAATAATAATAGTGATAAAATAATATATATAATTGGATTTATAAATAAATATGTATGTGTCTCTTTATACAGTTTTTTTTTTTTTTTTTTTTTTTTTTTTGAAGTTTTCATTTTATATTAGGACTCTGCTATTAGATTAGTTTACTTTGTTTTGCAGGTGTAGCGAAGAATTTTAATTTCAAGAGTAAAAGAGTTGTAATCAATTTAGGAGTATTAATTTGTGTAAGAAAACCCTCCTTTTGTGGGTATGAAGAAACAAAAAAAAAAAAAACATGTTACACAAGGATATAAGAGGAAATTAATATATAATGATATAACTTTTACACGAAACTAAAATTTTCGCATGTTTTATATAAGAAACAGTTTGAGGAAAAGCAGTTGCCGGAATATTACTTTCCTGAAAATTTTTCTTTTCACGCTAACAAAACGGCTAAAAATCTTAAAAAATTTCTGTTTCCTTTCCTTTCTTGCTAATTCACGCTAACCAAACTAACCCTTAGGTCCGTTTGATTAGCTAGAAATTGATGATGGAAAGTAAAAGAAATGAAAGTGAAAGAAAAGAAAAGAAAATTAGTTTTCTATTATGCATTTGGTTAGCAAGAAATTTTTTAAAGAAATTTGTAAGAAAATGTTGTTTAATTAATTTGAATAGCAAGAGAATAAAAGGAAAATGATTTTATATGTCAAAATTACCCTTATGAATTTAATAGTAAAATAATAAGAGGAAATTAATATATAATAATATAATTTTCATGCGAAACTAAAATTTTCCCGTGTTTTATATAGGAAATATTTTGAAAAAAATTAAGCAGTTGCGGAAATATTACTTTTTTGAAAACTTTCCTTTTCACACTAACCAAATGGTTAAAAATCTTAAAAAATTTCTGTTTCTTTTCCTTTCTCGCTAATTCACGCTAACCAAACTAACCCTTAAGAAAAAAGAAAAGAAAGGTCCTATTTTTTACATCGAGTGCAGCTTGTCCAAATTGTAATTTTTAATTAAAAATTATAATTATAATCATATCCAACTTAAAAATATAAATATGCATAGTGTCTTGACTCAACATACTTTCTTTTTTTAAAATGATGTTATCATGGAATCGTAGCATGCGTGTACACATATAATTTCACTTGAGACTCAAAATTAAACATAAAATTAAAACTGCAACGGACATGTTTGAGCCCGAAATTAGCTAACACAAAACCAAGTTCCTCCCATATTCCAAACCCCTAGATTAAACTACAACTCCATTTCAACAAACATTTTAGTCATCAAAATTTAAGTGATCAATTTCACCATATGTTACTGGGGTAGTTAGTAGATGAATTCAGCTTTAGGTCTCAACTAACAAACCCACCCCTAATCATTCTCCACTTACCATAATATCGTTAAACAATCTTTTTCTTTTCTTTTCATATTTTTTTTTTTTTTAAAAGAAAAGTACATAAATCAAAGTGTTATAATCCAATTCCACAACAAACATACATTAGCTTTGATCTGCAAAGTGCACTTTGAACAACGGATGAGTCTTTAAACAAGAAATAATGTCCTCCATACACCAGCAAGTGTAAAGGACAAAATTGTTTTCCGTTAACCACTCAGAACCACAGCTTGAGCATTCATTTCGAACTCAATTATAGAGAAACTCCAATTGACAGTCCTCAATATTGTCTGTCGCAGCACATAGGTTTCAGTCACCGAAGGATCAGCAATACTCAGTAGAGACAAGGATCCTCTCTAGCGCTGGACCTCTTCTGCATAGAATTCAGTGGGTGAGATTAAATTCTATGTAGGAGATATCCAATGCTGGAGAGGATCCTTGTCCACTCCGTAAAGCTACTAACAACCATTGAAATAATGCGTTCTACATGCCACAACTCTGCTTTAAAAATTTAAGTACTTCACGCTATACACAGACACCACCAAGACACAGTGCAGCCAAGCCTTGATGCAAATTGTTTGTGCCTTCATTCAAACAATAAACGAAGTAAGCCCACCCCTTCCTGATCTCTACTCCATCTATCCATATCTCTCTCTACCCCATTTTTTTTTTTTTTTATCTATTGTTTAGGTCCGGAAGTATTGTGGACCAAAAATGCATATTCTGTGGGAGAACGATATGGTGAAGCCAAAGTCAGCCTGCAAAGATCCAAAATCGCGTGTTATTAGCATTATTCGGTATCAGTAATTATAAAAAGTTGTTATAAATGATTTTGAAAAGTTAAATATAATAAGGGAATTGGCATATAATAAAAAAAGTCCGAAGGAAAATTCATGTGGCCCGACCATATTCGGAAGGAACTAAGATAAGATTAATAATGATGATGAGGAGGAGGAGGATGAGTATTAGTAATGGTATAGAAATGATTATTGAAGGACATGAATATAAGAAGAAACTTGTTTAAAATTGAAAACTTGTGAATGATTTAATGTGATTTCTTGTAGTTAGGTGTTACAAGGGAGATTTCTCCCACATTGGATTTAGACGAGAGAGTGATTGGATAAAAATGGATGGATATGTGACACTACCTAATAGTTTGATCTTTTGGCCCCCACCCGTTATCGTTGATATTAGAACCAGACCTAATCTTTAGTCCGGTGCCACGCCAATTAGCGACGGGGTGGGGCGGGCATTCCATTCCCCATCCCAATCCCCGATGCATTTTTCATTCCCCATTCCCGTTTAAAATTTTGTCAGAATCCCCATACCCGCCCCCGCCCTCGACATCTTATCCCCCGCCCCGCCCAACCCCCGGCCCTGGCCTCATAATTTTTTTTATTAAAAAAAATACATTTTTCTTATTTTCATATATATAATAAATCTAATTTAGTAATAAATTATTATATGTAAGGGTATATTAGTAACTTCACACTTAATAGAGACGGGGCAGGTTTACCCCATCCCCGGCTTCAGCCCCAACGGAGATTCATAATTTGTCCCCATCCCCATCCCCATCCCCGTTTAGCTAAAAGAATCCCCATCCTCGCTATAAACGGGGCGGGGCGTGGCGGGGCCCCAGAGGGGATGGAAAATTTGCCATCCCTAACGCCAATTGACCGACCCGAAAGGCGTTCCGGTGAGTCACTACCCAACATACCACCCAGACGCAACGAGGATATCGGATTAAGATGATAAAGTAATTGGGTATAATTAAATAGATATGCGTCCAACGGTATAAATTTTTAAATAAATGAGCAGTTTTAGAGAGGAGTAATGTTTGTAGAGTAAACTTTATCTGTCACCAAATTTTCAAATGATTTAACTCATTGCTGACACGAAAGCTCTAACTCTAGATCTGTTCCAAGCAGTGGCGTAATCAGAAATTTCCTTCAGTGGGGTAATATTTAATAGCAATAATATATATATATATAAAATTTTTAGCAAAACAATATATGTAAAAATTAAAACATTGATTCATAATATTTCTATTTAGTAAATATACTAAAAAAAATTTAAATTCAATGAATCAAAAATAAGATATGAAAAAGAAAATAACTAAGTTGCCTAATTGTTCTAATATATCACATATGCAGAAAAAATAAAAAAATAAAAAACCATGATAATCAAATCTAACCTTATAAGTTATAACAAGATAATTCAATCCATGAAATTTTGATAGAGTTGAATATGTGATTTCATTGATTTGGACTGCAAATAAAAAATAAAAATAAAAATTCTAAGTTTTATTTAGAGAATAATAATTAATAACACAATTACACAAACTAAATTTTGAAACAACAATAAGTCCTAAAATAATTTTGATAATAATAACGAATAATTTTTCTAATTAAAATTATAGTATCAAATAACGAATAATTTTTCTAATTAAAATTATAGTATCAAATAATAATACTAAAATTTAAATGATAAAAAATATATATCAGATTACCTATCTATTGCACTACATTGAGTTTTTGTCTATTAGTAATTCCGCTTACTTTGTTTGAATTGTGGAAAATGTTTGAAGACTGAAGATGTAATGAAAATAATCTATTTGTTTGTGTAAAGTCAAAAGTATGATAGAATATCTTGATAAAATTATTAGTATTATTATTATTATTATTATTATTTGGAAAGTGAAAAAGAATATAATATTTTGGGAAAGTGAAAAAAAAATATTATATTATCTGATAGATAACCGTGAATGAGATTTTAGTGTTATATATATAATATATATACGTACACTGTCAAATTTTAAAGGTTTTTGGTTATATATATAGTATATATACGTGGATTGTCAAATTTTAGAAGGAACAATTATATAAATATAAAAAAAATTTCATATAAAATTTTAAAAAATTTAAAAGTTCAGTGGGGGCAACTGCCCCCACTTGTCCCCTGGTTCCAAGTACTTGTGACTAGTGAAAACGTGTAACATATATGAGTAAGCATGACAGAAAAAGAGACAGGCTTGCTGAAAAAATAAACTTTCTTTTTTTTCGAAATATAAAACAAAAGTGAAAAACAAAATTATTTTTTAGAAAAAAAAAAAAACACAAAATGTTATCATGGTAGCACGGACAAGCTGGGTTGGCAACTTGGCATAGCAAGTAAAGTATGGACCACGATTCTAGGCTGTACAATGCACTGCGCTCCGGTCAAATCAAACATGTCACGCTAGCTATGATTTGATTTGGACCATCGCTTATTATATGGCACATTATAAATTTTTTTTTCATTTATTATAGAGCATTTTCTTTAAATCATATCGCTAATAAATATTTTTTTTATTATATAAATTTATAAATTATAATTTTTAAAACATGACACTTATTATGAAACAGAAAGAGTAAAAAGCTAAAAGAAAAGAAAGAGACCAAACCAAAAACATTTTATCACCCCTACCAAATGCAATCAATTCTCACGGGTTTTCTCACGCAGACTAATTTGGACTTAAAATGCAGTCAAATGCTGTATGGTTGAATATTTTTGGTTGGTAGGAAGCACCTTCGAACATTCAAAGTTTAATCCAAATAATATTTTATACGTTCAACTGTTTTGAATTTTGAATGGTATTACGACTCTCTAAGAAATCAATAAGAAATCAATAGAATAATTCAAACTAGCATGGCGGCCTAGCAATAATAATAAAATAATAATAATAATAATACTAAAGAAGTAAGTATTGTTCATGTGTCTCAATTACTTATATCAACTCTAGAGATAAAAGAGAGACGTATAATTCTAGATAGAAAAGACTAACAGCATAAGGTTCAAGAAAAGAGAACATTTGACGATTCATTTGACAAAGTAATCCCATCCAACAAAAACATGGTGTTTCACTACAAGTCAATGTAAGGGTACGTATGAGTCAATTTATTACACCACCAAAAAATGTACTTATTATACTGGTAATACTAAATTTATTATTATTATTATTATTATTATTTATTTTTTTATGGAATGAGGAGTTCAGTGAATCAACCATATTTTTTTATTGAACAACATATATAATTAAAAATTTTGGTTTAATAAAGTTTGCCATAATTACACTGAAGACTCCTTTTGTATGAAAATATGTTCATGTTTGGTAATTTGAAATTTCAATAACAATTAACAAACAACCCATAATAATTTTTGTTGGTGTTTGGTAATTTGAAATTTCAAAATACTAGTTTTGCCCTTCTATAATGCATATAGACATTACTATCCATAATTTCTCGGATAAGATTAGCTCTGTCAGGAAACATATATTAAATTAACTCGTAGAAATGAAGACTAGTAGATAATAGGGAAGGGTAAATTTGTTATTTTATAAAATTTGGTCAATAAATTTATCCGAAAGAAAATGTTAGTGTCATTGAGTACAGGAGCTAAATTTTAAGAAAACATGAAATAATAAAAGTTCTAACAATCTATGATTTATGTGTAACACATCCAAACTTGAAGAGAGATTAATGTAATTTATCCCTTCTTTAAAGAAGAAACTCGATCACAAAAGCACAAATGAAATACTTGTAATTTACTCCAATGCAAAATGTTACTTTTTTATGTCAAAGTTATATTTTGAGAAGAGCTATACTGTCAAAATATTATATTTTAGCAATTTTACTCCAATGGTGCATATCATCCAAATTGTTATTTGGACTGTATTATTTATTTCATCTGTTATATTTTGAGAACCGGCACAGTATGAAAAAAAAAAAAAAAAAAAAAAAAAAGCCTCTTTTGAAAGTTGCTATATATGACAATACTTTTGACAATCTAAAAAATATAAGAGTTCTTTTAAGAGCTCATTAAAATATATTATTTTTATCTACTTATTATATTTTGATTTTAAGAGTCTTTTGAGAGGACATTGAAGATACCCTAATATTGAAACTCCAAACATTTTTGAAATGCTAATACTAGATATCAAATAGTACACTTAATTTGAATTCTTTTGGACTCAACTCCCGAAATTTTTTGATAATTGTCCAATAAAAATAAATAAAAAAATAAATAAATAATAAAAAATAAAATAAAAATAAAAAGGGTGGAGGAGACGGACTACAATCTTGATTTACGCATAAAGATAAATAAACCAATTGAACGTATTTAGGTGGTCCAAGTCTATTACCTCTCTTTGCGCTTCTCTAAGAAGCTCTGCAATGACCTCCTCCTTGCGATTGGTAGATCTGCACAATACCCATTTTCCTTCAACTTTCAAAACACAATTTATTATATATATATATATATACGAAGAAAAATAGAAAGTGAAAACTAAAGAAAAAAAAACGCTGACCTCCATTGTTGAGTGTCTCCATAAGTTTCGAATCTGATGATTCAACAGCTTTGGAGACTCCTTTCTTGGCAAGTTTCAAGATATTCTCAGCCTAAACAATCACAAACAACTTTTAATTAATATTTCTAATACATTCCACAAAACACTAGTATTTTTTGAAAAATAAAACCAATAGAAACAAAGGAATACTGTAAGATTATGACAAACCAACCTTGTTTCGAGGGACATCGAAAACAGCCACGGTTCCATTGTAGAAAATTGTCAGAGGAACGCCTTCAGAGCAAGAATTGGGCCTAAAACCAACAATTGCTTTTCATCATTTTCATGTATATATATATATATAGAGAGAGAGAGAGAGCTGTTATATATATATATATATATATATATATATAAATTAAAAACCAAATTGGGGGCTTTTGAAATTTGGAACGCCTCGGTACCTGAAGGTAGGAGTATAAACAGGCAAAGCAGGAAAGAGAGATTGATCATCTTTCGGAGTCGACGGAACCGAAAACGACTTGTTGGCATTATGAGACGATTTCCCAGCCAAGCTCTGGTTCACGGAGCCACATTCAATCACTGTCTTGAGAAGCTCAGGATTCAACTTCGAAATCACACCCTGAATATCTGTATATACACCACATTAGTTAGATATAAAAATTGTATGTATACATAATAAGAGAAACAGAAATATTGTTTGTTGAATGCACAGTGGTGTATATATATATATATATACACGAACCACGAAAGCTTCTTCCGCGATGAAGGAGCTTATTCTGAGCCGTAGATTTGGGAGTGGTCTGTTTCTTCATACCAAAGAAATCAAGTTCCACCATTGATCTTGACATTTTGGGTTTGTTAATTGTTGGAAGTTTTGAAGCAGAGACGCGAGAGAGGGGGACGATTAAATTTTGAGAGATTGAAGGGGATATATATATATATATATATATATATATATATATATATATATGTGTGTGTGTGTGTGTGTGGAAAGAGGCATATGAATGAGAAGAAGACTAATTAATGAGTTTTGTTGACTTGTGTTGTTGTTTGTTATTTGGGTTAGGCGTAGAAAAAAATCCTTAGAGTTTGTGCAAAACTAATCTCAACTTCTTGAAAATGTAAATATTTGTCAATTAAATTCAAAAGAGGTGCATAATTAGTCCCTCTGATCATTTTTTACAAAAAAGTAAAACTGAAAACCTATTTTACTATTTTAATTACTATTTTGCCCTCACCTATATGTGCATATAAGCCCCCACCTATTTTGATTCACATATGGGTGTTTGTCCTTGTGGATTGTTAGGATTCTGATTCGGTAATCCGAATCGGATACAATCGGTTCTTCCTTCAAAACGGGTGGAATCATCGCTGATCAACAAAGTCCATTTTTATCGTTTTTGAGCTCACCAGGGCTGTGGCTGAGATCCGAAATATCGCCGGAGTCATCGTCTTTGTGGATCTCATGGTCTTGAAAAGACGACATATTTGAATCAATATAAGGAAATGAAGGGCACCCAGATGCTTATTTGATCATAGGAATGGAAAATTCCCGAGAAAGTGTGGAAAAACGGATGAGAAAGTTTGGGTTTTCAACGGGGTTGTGATATCAGGTAGTGAGAGAGGTCATGATCTATGGAAAAGGAACAATACGACTTAATTGTTTTGAGAGAAAATGGTAAGAGTATTATTATATGTAGGGTAAAGTGCAAAAAATATATAGGGTTTGTGCACTAAACTCATCACAGCTATACTACAATTTCCTCCGACGCCGAAGATTCCAAGCCCACCAATTTGAATAATACCCTTTTGCAGCATCAAAACCCCCATTTACTTCTTCTTAATTTGAGTCCTCTTATTCGTTTCTCCTGCCTGACCTTTATTTTCTTTCTCTAGACTCTATATCCATATATCTATTTTAGCCTGTAATCTATAGAGAGATTTCTTTCTTTCTATATTTCTTCAGATTGGATACATCATCATCATCCTTCTTCAATTCAACTTCATTTCATCTTCTCCACTCCATTCAATCTCATCTAGCCGTTGGGCGAGTTAGGTTTCTCTCTCTAACCAAAAAGGTTACAACTTTATTTCTCTTTCTACAAACCATATTAATATGCACTGGGAAAGAGAAAGCAATACAGAGCTCTATGATGTTCAACGAATTAAACCCTCGAATAATATCAAAAATAGGAAAGAAAAATTAAGTTAAATAACGAAAAAAAAAGAAGACAATGTTAGAGAGAAAAGGAGAGAATGTTTAGAGAGAGAAAGAGATGAGAGAGAGAGAATCTGATTCATGTTAATGGGCTGGTTTTTTTTTTTTAATAATAAGGGATAAAAGGGTCATTCTACATAGCCTGTATTTATAATCATTAATTTATTCAACTGAAAGGGGGTATTATCGTTATTTAAAACCACACAAGGACCTTTTTGCACCAAATTGATAGTATATCGGGGTTTTTTACCACACAGGGACCGATATGCACTATATCGATTATAAAGGGAGATTTTTTACACTTAACCCTTATTATTTTGCGGTTGGGTGGAGTTTGGGGGTGGGTTGGTTTGATTTTTTATAGGGCACAAATAATAGCATGTGGTGTTACAAGTTAAAGAAGCACAAAGAGAATACTTCATCTAAATTACGTAACTAGCCTAGAATATGGACCTCATATGAGTCTTCGTGTGTTGTTTCATGCTTTTTTCTTTTTTTTCTTTTTTTTTTTTATGTGTCCTGGTAGAAACAACCAAAGCAAAACGAACCAAACAAAAACCAAAACCCTTAGCGCCCAACATCCGCCAAAGCAAGCTACACAATTGAATGGAGAAGATTAGACAACACCTGATCCGTCCTAAGCCCAGGTCTCGAAAGAATTGCCAAAACATGAGCCACCCTATTTCGTTGACGACACACATGAGTCAAAGTGGCATAAGAAAACCTCCGAAGATCCACATTAACATCAAAACAAATAGGAGCAATTTTCGACGGATAACTCGCCACACCCAACACCCCATCCACGATAACTTTGGCATCCGATTCAAACCATAAGCAAGAAAAACCCCAACTCCAAAGCACAAAGAATAGCACATTGACACACTAAAGATTCTGCCTGCAAATGGGAAGAAGCCGAGAAGGTACAAAAAATAACCGCCTTAAGTACAGCACCACGAGAATCACAGAAAACTGCTCCTCCTCCCCCCATTAAAGATCGCCGACAAAACTTAGTATCAAAATTACACTTAACAATTCCAGGTGGAGGAGGACTCAAAAAATCCACCAAAGTGTTGCCCTCCACTGGGGTGAAAGATGCATAGAGGGACCTAGTATCTTCAAACTCCCAAAAACTGGCAATCACCTTCTGCACAACCAGCTCAGGCCGCCATAAAACCTCATCAAAGACTAACCGGTTTCGCCCCTTCCAAATACCCCAAACACAAAAGGAGATCAAACTAAGCACACCCGCAAAATCCGAGGAGATCATAGCCTGATGCACTAGAAATCTCTAACCAACCTAGAAAGAAGAAAAAGAAGAAGCCGAAAAATCAAGACACAATGGAGATAACTTCCACACTTAAATGGAATGAGGGTAAAAAAAAATAAGATGCACAATAGATTCCTCCTCTAAACCACAACTAAGACAAAAAAGCAACACATCACAACCCCAAGCCAACAGAGAAACACGAACTGGCAAAGCATTAAGACAATATCGCCAAAGAAAATGTTGCACCTTAGAAAGAGTGTGACATTACCAAATGGAAGACCAAGAGCAATTGATAGAAGCAACCCTAAAAAAATTGGACATTGAAAGAGCTAATTGGTAAGCAAACCGAACTGAAAACCTCTCCGACCTCTCCAGAGCCCAAATAACAACATCCGGTTTATCCCACCGGCTAAAGTGAATTTTGAGAATTTTCTGAACCATAAGAGGAGGGAAAAATTGATGCAAGACAACCACTTTCCACGAAGACGTAGCCGGATCAATCAAATCCGCAACAAAAGAAAAATGAACATTAAACGGGGGTGGTGAAAGTTTTTGCGGAATCGCGAGGACCAATGATCATCCCAAATATGCTTAAATTTACTATTCCCAATCAACGATCTTAATCCCCGACACAACAAAGCCTGAGAAGACCAAACACTATGCCAACCCCATGAAGGATTGGACCCCAACGAAGCATCCAAAAACGACAAAGGAGGAAAATACTTTGCCTTAAAAAACTGATACACTAACCCCTGTTTCGTTACCTAAAAATGCTAAGCATGCTTCGCTATAAGGGCCAAATTAAAAGCCTCAAGATCCCGAAACCCAAGACCACCCAAATTCTTACTCCGACAAAGAAGATCCCAATGAATCCAATGAATGGCACGATTTTTATCCTTATTACACCACCAAAAGGAACGAATATGCTTCATCAAATCTTGACATAAAGTACTGGGAAGTTTAAAGGATGACATTACATACGTAAGCAAAGCACTCAATACTGCCTTAATCAACACCTCTTTCCCACCCGTTGACAAAGACTTCGCCTTCCAAAAAGATAACCGCTCCTGGATTTTAGTCAGCAAAAACTGAAACACGTACCACTTGGATCTCCCCAAAATTACTGGCACTCTAAGATACCTACTATGCAAACCCTATAGCTGTAATCCAAAATACCGACTAAGAAAACGGCGCACCGAACCTTAGGCATTCTTCGAAAAAAAATAGATGATTTACTAAAATTCACTTGCTGCCCAGAGGCCATTTCATAATCTGCCAAAATTTGTTTTAGAACATAAACTTCTTCCTTAACTGCAACACAAAACAGAATAGAATCATTAGCAAAAAAAAGATGAGAGATGGAAAGAGCACCCCGACAAATACGAATACCAGATAACAACCGGGCTTGCTAGGCTCGCAAAAAAGAAAGAGAGATAGCTTTAGCACAAATAATAAAGAGATATGGAGATAGTGGGTCCCCTTATCGCAAACCCTTTGACGGTTTGAAAAAACCCACCAAACTCCCATTAATTTTTAAGGAGTAAGAAACCGTGGAAATGCAAACTGATATCATTTGAATCCAGTGATGGTTCAATCCCATTCTATATAGCATGTGAAATAAAAAATCCCACTCAATCCTATCATACGTTTTACTCATGTCAAGTTTGTGATACCCCTCGATTCTAGAGCCACGGGTGATCAAGTCCGAGCACAGACCCGAGAGATACCAAACAATTAATATGTAAACAAGCAGGAATAAAACTGAATTAAGAATAAAATAATGATATGCTGAAAAGAAATCTAATTGTAAAACCTCCTCCAAAAATAAAAGTTTTAATATAAACTAACTTTCCAATCCGTACAACTCGGGAATCCAACTAGTGGACCCCTAATAATCTCAACTGATAAAACTTTACAGAATAAAATCCAAAACTAAAACCAGAAAGAAAAATCCTATTTAGTCGGAAGAGTGACTGACTGTATCTGCATCACCACGATCAAACCCTAAGCCTGATACTCACGAACACCTGAAAAATAAAGGTGGGTCAGGCCCATATGCAAGTTCCATCCTACTACAATCCGTACATAAACCCGATACGCAGATACATCCTAGATAGCTCAACAATAGCTACAATAGTCCATAGATATATAAATACACACTATAGGATGCTCACTAGCCTATAACATAGTTCAGCCTGGGTAGAAGGTGACCTATAAAACACGTTTTTCAGCGGCCAAGTACCTAGACCTACCAGGGAACATTTACTATATCTAGCTACTCAACCTTTGCGATATACGCACCCTAACCGTGATCAGGAGACTCAAGCTCGTATCACAGTACCATAAATATATATATAAATTCCTTCCTAATGCCGAAAGATAAAACAAGCATCCATTATGTCGTTCAACTGTTTTAGTTGACAGGACATGTATCCATGTAGGAGTTAACTATTTTAGTTAATCCATTCCGTATGTAAGAAGGGGTAGGACTTAGCTTTTTGAT